CATTTTTGCTTTGTATATCAACTGTCAAAAGCCATTCACGGTCACATGTATTTACAGAGAAAACCATTACAGCTTGTTTAGTCTTCTCTGCTGCTCTGCTCAAGAATGAATGGTTAACTAATTAATATCTAACTACAAGTCACTGTCTCTGATAAGATCATGGCGGAAAGTACCTTTGAAGCAACTTTGTGTTTTTTATTACCTTGAGAAGGGGACTTTCATGTCAGGGGTAATACTTTTTTTTTTGCTTGTACTTTTTACTTAATTGTACTTATAATTTATTTTACATACAAAACACTGTTAGAATTCTAACAGGAGTTTCGCTACCAGTGGTGCTTATATTCCAGTAGGGTTTTCTGCAGTTGAAAGGAATACAGTGTGTAGATAGATAAAGAAATGGTGATCAAATTCTGATCAGACAAAAATCATTATATTTGCATGTAGATGTGACTCGAATCTGAAGTTTAGTTATTGTCAAAATAACTGAGAGCTACCAAAGTGCACACATCTCCAACCAACATGTTAATTAAAAGCATTTAAAGTTTTGCAAATTTGAAGCTGCAAGAAAAGCCATTATACAGACAGAGAAGCACAAATAGTTAGACAGAAGATGAATAAGAATCAAATAATAGCTAATAACTAAGAGCAATGGGTAAACTAGTGAAATAATCAGTCAATCAGGAATAAGCATTTGAAATAATTGCCCATAATTAACGAATACACGAACGCAATCAAGTTGAAACAGCAAAAAACTAAAAGGGAAAACAGTTAAATATCTAGTAAACTGCTAAACTGACTCAGACGAACATTTTCATTCATTAATTAGCAAAAAATTCATTGTTGGACAGTTAAAATAACTAAAAATATCGACTAAATGCTTGAAACAATGAACTAAAAGTCAGGAAAACACTAAAAGTCATGCATAAACACTCAAAATAGCAAAAAGCCCTGAATAAACACTTGTGATAATTAGTTAAAGGTCATGAATATGCAATTTAATTAATTAGCTAAAAGTCATGAATATGCAATTTAATTAATTAGCTAAAAGTCATGAATATGCAATTTAATTAATTAGCTAAAAGTCACTGATAAATAGGTGAATAGTCAGTGGAAAACGATAACTACTTGGAACTTTTGGATAATTTGGATAAATAGTTGATGG